TTAGACATTTTTGCAGATGACTGGATTTAGCAAAGAAATGAGAAAATTCTCATAAAAAGAGCAGAGAGGAAGGGAGGAAGCAGGGGTTTATGTGCCCAGGGCTAAATCTCTCATCAGAGAGACTTTTTATACCTGTCTTTTAGAAACGCCAAAGGAAGGAAATTACAACCCACCAAGGTAAATGCTTCCTGACATTTTGCTAAAAAAAAAAAAAAGGACATTCCCCATAACTTTCCTTGCAGGAATTGAATGTCTTATTTCCAGTAAGTTCATTAGTAGAAATAATACATATTCCAGTACAGACTGCCACCGTGTCAGTACCAATTGAGTCTTGCCATTGCATTGTCTCAGCTTCCTCATCGCCCATTATGAAGGATATCCAAGGAGCATCGTGGCTCAAGTAGGTAGGACACTGGGTTGGAAGTTAGTAAGCCTGCTATCAATCCTGACGCTGATCTGACCGAAACCATCTTGGAGCCACAATGGAGCTGAGGGATAGGGAGGGGGGATTAGAGGTAGCTGGGGTCTTTGTAGCCAAAATAAAATACTTTCTCTTGGGAACCAAGGATGTTCTACCACCTGGCCGGAGGAAGGAGGAGTGATGTCACCAGGCCACCAGACAACACCTTGGTTGGACCATGTGACTGATTGTTTGAGGTTGAGGGAGAAACTTACTTTTAATTAGATGAAAACTGTGGGAACCTTCAGAGACGGTTTTCACCAGATCTGTGCCAATATGATATATCCAATAAATATTCTTTGAGGACCCTACCTGCCTTGGGAGTTTGCTAGGGATCTATTACTTGGAACCTGACACCTGCCTCCAAGACCCCAGTGCTACCATGGGGTAGGGTGAACTCCTGTCCTTTGCTCAGGCTCCTGCAGGTGCCATGAAAGGAGCACCACATTTGGCTATCCCCTGGGCAACAGTGATGTCACCAGCTGATCCTTTCAATCTGGAAGCACCTCAGTACTTCTGACGCAAGTGTGATGCGATGAAGATTACCTGTGGGATGAGCTTAACATGAATTGTTTTCTTCTCTACTTCCCACACCCATGGAAATTAAAAGAGATGGACCAGATTAAGGGGGATGAGCCCTACGGGCAGAAGAACAAATAGCTGTGAACAGGCTCTGGATTCCAGTTTTATCATCCTTCTTCTAACTGCAGTGCCATACCAATTGAGCATCGGAAAGATTTTGGATTACACAGGCTCTATTGTAGTGTTTCTCAACCTTGGCAGCTTTGAAGATGTATGTATGGACTTCAACTCCCAGAATTCCCCAGACTAGCAATAAAGATGTTATCTAGTTTGGGTAATGAAATGTCTCCAAGAAAACAACCAAGCTCAGAGAACACCGAGGCTCCCACAGTCCTTGTCCTCCAGTAAACCCAACTCTCTTCTAGCACTGATAATGTTACCTTGTTCGGTCATGAAAAGTCTGCAAGAAAACAACTAGGCTCAGAGAGCACCAAGGACTCCTCTTACTAATTGCACTTAACAGACTGATTGGGCAGTAATTAGAATGCAGGTCTTTCTTCTTCTTCTAAAAGTAGTAATATTATCTAGGATATAGAGATGTGCTGCCTGTACCACAAACCCTCATTTAATGGTTTAGCTGGCTTTGACACAAGCTTTAAAATGTGTTCATAAACTCTAGTCTTCTGTGAGTAAATTTTATTCAAGTGTAAAATCAGTTCGGATTTGATGGACATTCCAGTATAATGGCACCCCTTCTCCCCAATAGATAATAATAATAATAATAATGGACACACAGTGTTGTCCATGAAAGCAGAGTGTTAATTGAAAGTATATATAATGAGGCCAAGATCAGAGCCAACCAATCCACACCTTTTAATTAGCTCTGGGGGATTGAGGATCAAACCAGTGCCTTTCTAGCTTTTAATTGATTATCTCATTTAAAAAGCCCTGGTGCTGAAACAGGAGGCCAAGGCAGGCAGTAAAATTAATTAGTTTCTTCAACAGAAGAAAAAGTGGCAAGCACTGGAATGTCAACAGAATTAAAAGCTGAATTAATCCATGTATACAGCTGACAAATACATTTTAAAGTGATTTGTCCTTTTTATTTTTCTCATAGCAGCTCCCATATTCTGGAACTATCCAAAACGGGCCATTCTGGATGGTAATGATGCCTTGATCTTTATTTGAAGGGTGAGCGGGTTGCCTGGAATACCTGTCCAAAAATGCTCCCATGAAACTCCAGCTGATTAAATCCTTGGATTGAAATGTTAGGATGTCAGGGAAAAATGTAATGTAAAAGTAGAAGGCAAATAATGCTTCTTTTGAAATCTGTTTATGGCAGGGGTGTCCAAACTTGGGAACTTTAAGACTTGTGGACCTCAACTCCACAAGTCTTAAAGTTCCCAAGTTTGGACACCTCTGGTTTATGGTAACGATAGCAAAAAATACCCTACCTCCAGGGCGTAATTCTGGAAGACGCTCGTGCTGCTTGGACTGCAGGAAGAAACCATCTCTGATTTGGAAAAGGAGCCTAAAAACCAAAAGGACATTGTAAAAGCAAATATTTACACAAATCCTGGAAAAGAAGATATCCTCTCCGCTCCCCCCTCTCTTTATTTTAAAGAGAAAGGGATAATGATAATAATAGAAATAATTAAAATGTATTTGCCACCTGACTCTCAGCAACTCTGAAAAGTTTATCTATTATTTAGATTAGATTAACAGAGTTGGAAGGGACCTTGCAGGTCATCTAGTCCAACCCCCCACCCAAGCAGGAGACCCTACACCATTTCTGACAGATGGCAGTCCAGACTCTTCTTGAAAGTCTCCAATGATGAAGCTCCCACAACTATCAAAGTCAACGTCTGTTCCGTGAGTTGAATGTTTTCACTGTCAGAAAATTTCTCCTTTTTTCCAAGTTGAATCTCTTCTTGATCAGTTTCCATCCATTATTCCTTGTCCGGCCGTCAGGTGCTTTGGAGAATAGCTTGAGCCCCTCCTCTCTGTGGCAGCCCCTCAAATATTTGAACACTGCTATCCTGTCTCCTCTGGTCTTTCTCTTCACTAGACTAGCCATGCCCTGTTCCTGCAACCGTTCTTCAGATGTTTTAGCCTCCAGTCCCCAAATCATCTTGGTTGCTCTTCTCTGCATTCTTTCTAGAGTCTCCACATGTATTTTATAGTGTGGGGACCAAAACTGGATGTAGTACTCTACATATATTTAAAACATTAAAGAAGACACTAAAATGACAAAAAAAGATGGCAAGAGAGAGACAAGTTCCTTCTAATGTTGCCATCAAGAAGGAATCTTCCAGCTTTAGAGACCACTCTGGATTTCTTCCATGAAACTTGCGAGAGGTCAGCATTCTTCGACCCTTATTTTAATTGAAACCTTGCAAGAATTTTTATTTTGTGATTGAATCCCTTGGGCCAATTTTCATGCTATCCCTTTCTGGAAGGAGAGGGGGCCGCCTCACCAGATCCCAGGGCGACAGGTGTTTCCCAAGCCCGTGTCAGTTGATGAAAGTGAACGAGGGGGAAAAAACA